ATGCAGACAGTTCACACAAATGGAGCTCTTTTGAGAGAGGTGATCATAAGGAATTGAGAAGACAATGCTCTTCTTATTGGCAAACTTGGAGCCTAGGCTATTAAACGATGCCCACCTCTATCCTTATCCCCAAAATCTCTCCAAATTTTTTCATACTAGCCTAAATGAGGGTAGTGAAATCACATTTAACCAATTCAAAAGCAACTGGATTCAGAAATTACTAAATCTTCAGTTACTATGAAATATTAATATTAAATATCTGAAAGTTCTTCCAAGTCACCTAGGCACCAGCTCCAACCCTAGCAAACTCACTGTGGGGAAGAAACGGCAGCTTTGTGCTAGGAATTAGAAGACCAGCATTCTAGCCCTGGCTCTGCCAAGAGAAGGAAAACAAGTCATAAGTCCATGATTTATCCTTTGTCTTCTAAGAAATCAAGAGAATTTCCATCTGACCCCCTGTGTAGCTCTTTCAGAGAGTCTAAGCTGTACTTCTACTAACAAATGATGCCAGATGGGTGGGGTCCAGACATCCACTAACTCAAAGATGCTACACTGTCATAAATTTTCTGTTTACCTTTGAGTTATGTTTTTGATTTGTCTACTTCTTTGCTATGTTTCCAAGACATATTTTAGAGAAAGTACCACAAAAGAGAGACATTTTGGAATAAACTAATTGAAATGCTAAAGGGAATCAAACTGTCTCTTGGTTGCTGTTACCATCCACAGAGAACCATTATGTCATCGTTCAGGAAAAATTGAAAGAATCATTCATCCTGCCTCTAACGGAGCCTGATTGGGCTATATCCTTTCCCTCCCTGGGCAAAAACTTTCCTTCTGTAAAGTAAGAGTTGGGCTACATGACCTTGAAGGCCCAGCTAAGCTCTAATACTCTATGATCACGCTGGGTCTGCAATTCACTCCACAACCACCTCCAAACTTCTCACATCTGTTCTTCTAAAACTACTCCTTAATAAACACATTTTAAAATGATTAGAAATTTTAGTTCCAAACACTAAGGTAGTTTAATTGCATAACTCTGTGCAGTGGCACGGATGTATATTTTTACATCTTATATAAAATTTGCTGAAGGAGTTACCCGCAAACCTATTGTAGCCAGAAACACTGTTGCTAATGCCCCTAAATTACTCGTCTTGCTACGAGAGTCTTTGGGCATCCAGAGGCCTACTTACGTACTTCGTGCACGTGATTTCATCTGCCAGTCCCCTGGGCACTCCACATATCCTACATCTCAGTTGAACTATCTTATTCTTCAAACAAGGCATTCACTTTCAACAGTCCCTGACTTTCCCATTCCTGTTATTCTCACACCACGAATCCGATGCTCTTCCCACAATATATGCAGCCAAGTGAACTCAAATGCTACCTGCTCTGTGCTGCCCTCCCCGATGCTTCCCTAGAAAGGCGTAAAGTATAGTATTGATATTCCTATTTTTGATTTCCCAACAATTTCAACATCTGGTGAGTCACGTAATAACTTAAAGTAGCACACTAAAGCCTTTCTTTTGTGTCCTTTTGAATTCTTGTGTGCTTGTCTCTTCTGTAGGACTAGGAACTACTCTAGAGCCAGGACGTGTTGATACTAATCTTTATATTCCCAATGCCTAATCCGTAGTTAGATCTCAATAAATCTTAAGTGAATGAATGAAAATGCAGAATTAAGCCAGATTTCCCAAATAAAGATATGGATAAATAATTGAACAGAATTAACGTTGGGAAATCTGAGAGTGGGAAAGGATCCTTTGGAAAAAGGAGGAAAATGTCACACAAAATCTATTTTCAAGAGCTCAGACATTTTTCAAGGTTGTTATGTGAGCAGAGCTCCTTTGGGCCTCTTACTGTGCAAACATTCCACATATGTGATCATTTTCCCCCATGAGATCCATGAGTCAAAGCAGCCTTACGAGGTGATTCAGAGGTGGGTTCAGGAAGGCACAAAATACATGCTTGAACAATGAGAAATCATAGACCTACTAGCCTACTTTAAGTAGTCAGGTGACTCAACGGGTTTCGCAATTTGCTTTGGCTCAAAAATGGAAACATCAAAGTTGGGCATTAACAGTCTACATTTCTAGGACTTCTCAAGTACCTTTTAATTACAGCACAACACAGCCTACTACAGACAACATCTTCTCTTGGCACATATTTTTAATGTTTTAAGTGTGTGATTATTGTTCTCACAGCATATAATTATGTTAACCAATAAATACTAACATATCTAATTCAGTTCCATCAGAGTGAAGACAATTCAGAAGACTGAACTGTATCTCCCAATTAACTGTCGCTTTCCTAAATCAGAATAACAAAAAAGTTAGAATGGATCACTCTTTAATTTCTGAATGGAAGAGGCACGTCGAAAGTAGATTTTACCCAAATTCTCAACTTATTCTATTGAAGGGTTATCATTATAAATTTTTTTAACCCTCTAAATGTTTTTCTTTTTATAAGAAAGCCATACTCAAGGGACACTGTTACTCACATGACTGGTTTCATAATTTTTGTCATTGGTAAAAACATTAAAAAAAAATTCCTACTATCCTCAACCTGGTTTTAGAACTTAAAAATCAAACATAGACCTGAATTCAAGGTCCAGCTGTGCTCACACTGTAGGCATGTGTCCTGAGCCAAGTCACTTATCTGCTCAGTCATAGTTTCCTCACCCACAAAATAAGCACATCTATATCTCAGAGTTGAGATAGTTACACCTCATTCAAGTGAGAATATGTGTGAAAGTGCTTCACAGTCAGTCAAATACTGTGCAAATATCAGTGATTTTGAGTTTGTGAGCACAGTAAGATTTGCTCAAGCAAAAACACAGCTGCTGAATAAACCCATTCAAATGCAGTGGTTTATGGGAGGCATGTGAAGACACAGCCTTGAAGAACGAAGGCTATATTAAACAAACCTCTAAGCAGCATCTCCCCAATATATATTAGGGTATGAGAATTTAGGAAGGAAAAAAAAAGACTAAACAAAAAACCTATTCAAAAAAAAAAAAGGAAGAGGGCATAGAAATATTTGAGCACATGATAGGTGAGTCCAGTGGCGAAGTCAGTAGCCTTGCTGTCCTGAGAAACTGGGCTTGAGGGATTTGCTCAGCTAGAATTGGAACTATGCTTAACACCAAACAATGGTCAGAAACCATGAAGTAAGCCAGGCTTGCTGGAAAATATTTCTCAGACCTGGGCCCATCCTCTCGCATCTTTCCAGAGTTGGTCTTGTTTCCTACGTTCCTTTTTCAGAATGAATTTTAGCTTTTCTCTGCTGGAAAACCTTCAACTAATCCCCATTATCTACAAAAGGCAGGCCAAAATCTTAATCTGGCGTTCAAACTTGTCCACAGGCTCTCCATAGGAAACCTCCCAGTCCTATAGCCCACTTCAAGCCTCCAATGGCCTCGTCTGCAGCCACCTGGCTCTCTGCAGCTCTCCAAATGCAGCCTGGACCTTCCTGCCCTATGGCTTAGGCTGCTCTCCCCTCTTGCCTCCAACGTTACAATTCCACTCATCCTGCCAGCTGAACACGCCAGTCTTCTGATAAACCTTCTCAGATTCTGCCACCTTCAAAAGAATTTTTCACTCTCTTCCTTGCGCTTCTACAATATCTGCCATAGTTTAACTTGTAATATTAAGGGCTCCTGGGTCCTGGATCCTATTTTTCTCCCTTTCAACCATCCACCTTCTTTCTCCTAACAGTTCCTCTAAAAGACCAGAGTGCCTGCTCCATACCTGCCGCTTAGTACATGTTTACAGAAATGAAGAGCATCTTCACCACTGACAGGGCTGTAGATAGCTAAGGAAGGACTAAACTCTAGTGTGTTTTGCCTTGTGCCTCCATGTAGCTGACAGTTCCATTATGTGTCTAGAAAAGGTAATGGGAATATGTCTAAAGAGGAAAGCACTGCCACCTTATGTGCAGTTCTATGTTGAAATGACTGACAGCAGAGGAGCAGGACTGGTTTTTAATCTGTGAAAGGAACCATTGTGAATTTAGGAGGTGCTGTTCAAGAAGAGGAGCGAGACTCAGAGTGCCATGTGCACTGTCACTTAGTCAATCAAGCATCACGCAAGAGTCAAACAACACGGTCACAACAGTGCCGGGCCAATGTTTGCATTTAAAGTTCTCCTGGCCGGCCTCTGAGGGCTTGAAAGCCCTGAAATTGAGTTGCCATTATCCTCTCAAGACCTGAGAGAGGCAGTGAATGACCACTAGCAGTGGAAGATCAGTTTCTGAAATCTAGATAATAAACTAAGATACAGAAAAACAGCCAAGCTCCAAAGTAAGCCAAGAAATGTAAAGAAAAACTGATAGCAAGTCGTTTCTTACACTTAAAAAACACAGATTAATTGCTATCACCAACTTCTGGTGAGATGGAGGAGGAACTGGTATATTCAAACAGTTGGTGCCAGTACAAGCTATTCAAAACCTTTGGAAAGAAAAGTAAAACAGTGGTCATACTCCTCGAGACAGAAATCCTACTCAGTGGATCTGAGGTAGGGAAATAGCTCCAAAGAAAATATACACAAACATGCCCCCTGTAGCATTATTTACAAAAACAACCAAAAAATGGAAGCCACCTTGATATCCAACATACAAGAAATTTCTTTACAAAAGACATGACGTCACCTTAACTTGAACACAGCCATGCTAAATCATATTTGTGAAGACTATACCAACACGTAACAAAATATCCACAAAGGCAAAACCAGAAAGAGTAGGCCAAAGCAATAAGAATAGATTTAACTTCTACAACATTTTTGTATAATGCTGCTGTGTTATTTTAAAGAAAATACTAATACTATCCATTCAAGAAGTTTCTGTCCATTAACCAACACATGTTTATATTAAATAAAAAGACAACTTAGACTGTTGACTCTGAGAAGATCAAAAAAGAATGAAAAGGCTATAAGAAGCTTCCTCTTTCAGAAACGGGTAGAGAATCTGTGGCCGGCACTGTGGAGACATTCAAGAACAGCTCTTACCTGGGGGGGCCGAGGCTTGTAGGGAGAGCTGCACTCAAGATCAGCCAAGATGCTAGTCAACGAGTCAATCTCAGCATCCAGGCTGGAACGTCTCTCCTCAAGGGTCTTGCCTCCAGGATTTCCCTGTTCGAAGCAACACAGACATGTTAAAAGAGGAAATTTCCAGGGCAGACCCCGTGGCATAGTGGTTGAGTTCTGCGCCCTCTGCTTCGGTGGCCCGGGTTCATGGGTTCGGATCCCGGGCACAGACCTACCACTCGTCAGCCATGCCAAGGGGGCGACCCACATACAACAGAGAGGAAGATTGGCACAGATGTTAGCTCAGGGCCAATCTTACACATACACACACACACACATACACAATGGGAATTTCCAATTTCCATTGATATCAGTCTGAGATCAAATTTCCCAAGTTAGAGCGTGGCTTTGTCCAAGCTTTTCCACACCTTATTTTTTTTAGCTTATATAAAATCTCAGTGAGGTAGTCCAGAGTAGAATTATCCCTTTTTGACAAGTAAGAAAACTGAAAGATATGAGGTGATTTTCCTTAAGGTCACATACTTATTTAGTGGCTTTTTTTTTTGGAGGCATATACACGTAAAAGGAAATAAATGCCTCCAGCCTTGTACTCAAGATACAGATCCAACTGGGGAGATATTGCAAGTTCTTTGTGTTCAGGAACCATTGCATGGAACGATGGCATTTTAGCTGGCACAGGAAGGGGCAAGGGCGGGAGACTTACAGTCCAGGAAGAGGGACCAGTGGATATTAGGTGTGTCCGTTTGAGAGAGAGATGGCGAGTCCCAAGTGATGAGCCCAAAGAGTGAACTAGAATAAGACTACCCAGGGTTCTGGCCACAGGGCTGCAGAGGCAGTATGTGGCAGTGATCACTGATTATGAAGCTGGGGCTCTATGGATTGCATATGTCATCATGTTATCGGTGCTTTGCCATTATCAGAAGCACCGACTTCCACCTGCACTCAGAATCAATAAGGAGCAAGTGAGGGCAATAACACTGCCACAAGGGCATTCCCAGGAACTGTGAGCAGGCTTGGGAAAACCAAGCAAACTGGGTGCCTAGAGCATAAGGCAAGGAAATACAAAGTGAGGTGGCCTTAAGATTTGGAAGCAGGGTGAGGTAAAATAATGTTTTAAGGTAACAAAGTAATAATGATCATGGATTGTAATGGGAGTGTCTCTTAAAACTCCCTCAAGAAACCAAAGTGTATCTGCAGCAAGACCCAATTGAAATGAAATAATGGAAAGTCAGTGTAATCTAATCAACCCCATTGAACTTGTCTAAGGAAGTTACATATCAGGACAGTGTCTGGAAGAGTTTAGAAAAAGCATGAGCCAAGAAACCAGAATATCCTCAGCAACAACAAAAAATACAGTACCCTGAAAAGCTAGCATTAAATCTTACACTTCTCTAACTAAATTTATCTTTTTAGTGAATATGCAGCATCAGGCAATGATAGCATAATAGTATTACCTATTAATATGACTTGTTCTTATTCACCTGGTAGCTTGTTCACCAAACTACCTTTCTTGAGTCTTGGAACTTATTTAAATCTCTGCATAAAATAGACCTAATGGGATCTGGTGTATCAGTAAGTCTCTTGTGAATTTAGCCAGCAAGAGTTAATCCCTCTGGACCTGATCTATACCAGACACATGGATACCATCAATGTCTAGGAAGCTGTGGCCAAGACCCTTGGAGCCAAATTCGAAGACTGCTGTCTTCCCCAGAGGCAGTGGCATCCTTACTTGTGAGTCCTCTTTAAATATGGGTTTTATCTATCAGGTTACCTAAAGCAGCCTTCTCATCATTTTCTCGTTCTGGATGTATTTGTATGTCCTCTCTATGGCACTCTAACCCCTCATCCTACTTTGTTTATTTTTCTCATAATAACTATCACTGTCCAACATCATCTTTTATGTGTATTTGTCTATCGTCAGTCTCCCCAGGAGAATGCAAGCTTCATGAGTGCAAGGCTTTGTTTCGCTCCTTGCTGTTTCCCCAGAATCTTGCTCACATCCACAGAAGTGTTCAATAAATATTTTGAGTAAATAAATGAATAAATAATGACAGACTCTGCCATAGGTCTAGCCAGTAACCTTTCTCACATCAACATCTTTTGCGTAAAAGCAGCTGGAGGTACAACAGGAGCAGTGGATGCTCAGGAACACGAAGTCCACAGTGTGGTTTAGAAGCAGAACCAATAGGCTCAGCGTGCATGTGTGTACACCAATGTGTGTCTGTGCATTGTACGCTGTAAGGCCAAGACTTGAAGGTTGCCCTTGTGAAAATTGAGAGGTTTTCCTCAGTTCCCTGGGCACAGCCAAAAATGGAAAAACAGTGAAATGACAGCTTGGTTATGTTTTCCCAGAGTCTGAATTTCCAGTTTGACCAAGCTCTATAAGGCCAGTGGGTCTTCGCCCTAGGAAGAGACATTTTCAAAGTGCTAATCTCTCTATCAGAGGTGATCTCACCTTCATCCCAATGAGTATCAATAACTGTGAAATATTGTGGTATTGTAAAGAAAAAAATCCCTCCAACACTTAAAATTCATGTGAACATTCTGGCAATGGGCCCTGGTAAAACAAGGCAAGGTAGGACATTATAGTTTTGGAAGGCAATCAAGAAGTGTGTGCATCTGATTCTCTTATGTGCTGATACAAAACATTATAATAAACATGAATTTGATAAATGTTTTTCCATGTACCCATAGACAGCACAATATGTTGGTAAGGATGGAGAATTGGAGCCTGGTTAAATTCTTCCCTGGGCCACAGTTTCCGTACCTATAAAACTAGGAGAACATCACCTGCCCTCCCCAAGCCAGAGGGATGTTACAAGATTCAGATAAGAAAATGGATGGGAAAATACTTTGTGAATTGTGAAGTGCTATAATTATGATGATTTTCATAAATAGCATTAATTATAGCAACCAGTAACTATAAATTAATATGAATAATATAGCTATTGTTAATTATTCTTCTTCTTAAGGGGAGCATCATTCATTAAGTGTTCCCTTGGGGTATGAGTAAAGAGACAGGATTTAATCAGGTCTTCAACATCTGCACTTTACTCTACCAGAAAGCACTTCAACTGCCCCTGCTCTAAGTCCCTGGGATTTCTGACCACAGAGACTCAAAAATCACAGAATTACCCAAAGCTATGCAATGAAACAAGCAATTATAGTGTGCAACTAGCCTGTGCAGGTAAGACTTCAACTGGTATCCAGGCTCCTTATTCATCCTTCCCTCTGAATTGGGATGATCCCCCATTTTAGTTTCTCATATTAGGTTGATGCAATTTAGTAAGTCCCAGCCTAATGCTGTGGGATTTTGCACCAAGAGTCCCCTTGCTGCCCTACTTGACCTTCTGATAAGAGCTTTGCTCCTACATTTCAATCCCCATTATGGAATAGAACAGGCCTCTTTCTTGCCCTTGAGTGCCTATTTTATGTCTCAGTTCAAATGACTGAAGTCCTGCCCAAGTCCCACCACCAAACCTTCTCTCAGTACTCTCATCTACTCTCTCAGCACCTTTAGATTCAGGAACTATCTTGCTACTCTCAACAGTTTATACTAGATACCACACGAGCAGCTACAAAGTGGTCATAGCAATAATAACAATTCTCATACTCTTCAACCATAACTAGAGAGATCCCATTGTCTTAGTCCAGGTTCTGCCAAAAAACAAAGCCAGAGACAAAGGCTTCTGTGCAGGTCATTTATTTTGGGAATTAACCCCAAGAAACAGTATTGAAGGACTAGAAGAGTATCTATCCTTAGGCTCCTGTTCTCCATTGGTTTGGAGCTGCTGATGGGGTTATAAACTCCCTTACATTTGTTCTAAGAAGTGGAGCGGTGGCAGAGAAGCCCCAGGACAGAAAGTAAGAGAAAGGTATTGCAGCTGAGGCAAGGTGCCACCAGGTCATACCTACGCTGCGGTGGCTGCTGCAGCAATGGCTGGTGCATGAAGGTGGGATGAGAGGAAGAGAGGTGAGGTACGAAAGGTGTCCAGTGACTGTACTTCTATTAACAGTTACAAAACCCTCATGAATAAGCCATTCATAAGATATTATTTTCTATACTTATTTTCATTCATTCAATATATATGTAAATAATAAAAACTCACCAAACTCACCAATTGGGGTTTAGTATAACTTGGAAAAGCATAATTATTAGTGGCACTAGTAGAATTACAGAGTGATCACACCCCCATTGTAAATACCTAGGCACAAACTTTAAAACAGAGCCCAGAACCAAAATGTACAGCATGTGAGGCCATTTTCAAAAGTCTGACTTTAGATGGGTCATATTTTGCTCACATATTACTAATCCACTAGCTACATGTGATAGACAAGGAGTATCACTAATGAGTTATGAAGGGTATTCATTTGTGTTAATTTAACCATTCATTCATTCTTTATATCTAATTATCTTATTTTAAAAAAATAATTAAACTCCAGAAAAGTTGAACAAGTAGTAAAATAAACTCCACCCACAAACTCTTCACTCAGATTCATTAATGGCCAACATTTTGCCATACTTGTGCTCTCTCTCTCTCTCTAATAACAAAATGAATATATATAGATGTTTGTTATTGCAGTTAAACCATTTGAAAGTAGCAGAAACTTCCCCTCCGCATACTTTTCCTAAGAATGCCTCATTTTTCAGTACCATTACCACACCTGAGAAATTTAACATGGGTGCAGTATTATCTAATACGCATGCATGCTTACATTTCACCAGCAGTCCCAATAATTTCCTTTTATCTGTTGTTGTTAATTTCCATCCAGAATCCAATCAAAGATCACAATGGAGGTGACATGTCTTTTCAGTCTCTTTTAATTTAGAACATGTCCCCAGCTTATTTTTCTCTTTCATGAAATTGACTTTTCGTAAGAATTCAGGCCAAGTGTTTTATAAAAAGTTCAACAATCTGCCTTTGTCTGATGATTAGATTCAGATTAAACAAGTCTGGCAGGGATATCACATGTATGATGCTGTGTCCATCCTGTTGCATCAACATCAGGAAGCTCTGGATGACAGTTTGGCCCAGTTTGGTGATGCCAAGATTGATGACTTGATTAAGGTGGTATCCACCATA